GTTTTTTTTATGGTGACTCCAAAGGAAAGTTCCATCAGCTGTTCTGACTGCTAGAAATTCTCCCATCACTGTGCAGTAACAGTTTTAAAGTTCTCAGGGAGGAGGGTAAATATCAATTAACATTAGTAACCCACAGAAGCTGCCGTGGTCAGGGTCTGCTAAAAATAGAAGAAGAAAAAAACATAAGAAGTGGGAATATTTGTATTGCAAAGTATTTTGTAGTGCTACTGGGATTGGAAAACATGATTCTCCAACTATGGTAATGAAGACTCTTTTTACATTGAGACAAGATACAGTTCCAGACTGAGCTTCCCTAGCCAGTCTATCAGGTACGGAGCAGCACACCTCAGAGATCTCTATCCACACATAAGAACAGATGCCAGTAGAACACCACTCTAACTTTTTCTAACTTAACAGGTTTTGTCCTTTTCAACAAAAGGATGGAATCAAACCAGCAGATTTGATACACTTCAAAAACACTTCCCAATCAGGCACATTGGTTATAAAAGCCCTTATAAATATCAAAATCAGTGAAGAAGCCCAGAGTGAAGCAGAATTCTGCTTTTGCATCTTAGACACAGAACTTTATCAACAATGCTGCTTTCTTTCTAATTAGTTCTACTACATATAAAACATCCCTAAAAATCAGACAGGAGAGAATCTATTCAGCTGCTTTAAGGGACTGAAATTGGTGTGATAGCAGTAGGTATGGAAGAGCAAAGGTTTTGGGTTTTTTTACGATTCGGTAGCAGTTTTGACTCAAAACATGCTGGAATTTCTGATGTCATCTGAATTCCTGCTTTTTTCCTGCTGTCAATCTCTGGAATGAGGACTAAGATCACCAACGAACTATGCTGCTATAATAGCCACTAAAATGACGTCTTGCTGCTTTGACAGCCAGGCACTGATAATCTCTGCTGTTCCCTTAGCTGGTTTCCAGACCTAAAGAGGAGTCACCAGCACGTTCAGACAAGCCAGCCATGCCTTACCAGGATTAGAAAATGCAATAAAGAACCTAAAGGGAGGAAGATAGAGAGTAAAAAAAAAAAAAGAAAAAAAAAAGAGTAAAGAAAATTAGGTGAGCACTTAGAAGGGAGACAAGAAAAAAAGGAAATCTGAAGAGGGAACTGAATAGAAGAAAATAGGGGAAGATGACAAGTGGATACAAAGAACGAAAAGAGGTAACAGTGTCAAGAAGAAACAACAATAAAACAGATGAAGAGCAAAATAAGCAACAGGAGCTTGGAACAAGGACTTCACAAAGTAGTAGGAAGTAAGGAAGCTTGAGGATGAAAGTAGAGTGAAATGGTCTTTAGGGCTCCAGTTTCCCCATTTATTTTTACTCAATTTTAGTACTTATTTGTGGCTATGCCTCTTGCATCTTCCAGGAAAAAATGAGGGTTCACTGGTTTCTTTGAATCCTTTCTCCTTACTTCTGAAGGGAAAATAAAAAAAATTAAAAAGCAGTGTAATTAATAAGGTTTTTTAAATATTCACAGGGAACTGACTGTCATGAATTAATGTCCTAAGCCACCTTCCCACATTTCTAATACACTCGTGCAAACTCTGCTTTGCACATGAATATCAGAATTTGTTAGTGTAAACCATAAGCGATAGAGGCAGACTGGACTCTGCATACGCAGAAGATGCAAGGTTTGATTTAGCAAGCATTTACTAGGAAGCTTTGCCTTCAGGCATTTTTAAATAAGTTCACCCTATATTCTTCCTCTGTGGGAAATCCACCTACAAAAGTATTGTCTGTACGAGTGCTCCAAATCCAGGAAGTGCATTGCTGCAAGTGTGCACAGGAAATGCTATGGGCCTTTATGTACCATATATACTAAGAATAAATCATGAATATCATCAAAAGTCCCTTTAAACAGATTTGTCCATTTTCTGTGGGAGATGAACTATTTTGTCCATTTTTCTTTACCCTGAAACAGTTCTGCTCAGTGTTGTGCTACAGATGGAATTTGATTAGAATACTTAAGCATTTCCAGTGATGATCCCAGAAGAGAGTACACCAGAAGTCTATCAGTCATTCTGCCTCACGGAGGGTGCAACTGTTGGACTAGAAGCCTTCTCCTCCGGGACATGACAAAGCACACAGTTATTAGCAAAACGCATTTGGATGACATACCTATAGAAAAGAAAGCACTGAACAAGACAGTTACAAATTAGACTTACATCAAACGTGGCAAGCTCTCACAGTGGGCTTCCGTAAGACACAGAAGCGCTGGCTGCTTTCTGCTTTACCTCTACAGCTCTCAGTGTGGCACCTCATATTACATTCATGACATAAGCAGCCCCATCATACCTGCCCACAGCCCCAGTGGAATACAGTCTTCTCATCAGCTGGGAAATCATAGCCCTTCCTGGACTTGGTTTAGTGGTGATGCTAAAAAAATTCCTTGCCTCTTCATTTTCCTCCTCCCTCCCTCTTCTACTACCCCTTCTCCCCAAGAAGGGCAGCCAACCATTGATGCCAAAGGAGAACAAGCAATTCTCCTACCAGACTTCTGTAGAAACAGAAAGAATGCCCTGAGATGCATAAGAATCAGAAGGAAGAGAGATAGATGTGAGGTCAATGAGGAGAATAATTATTTCACTGGAATGTTTTGATGTTGATGAGAAGCTGAAATTTCCATGCTAGCAAGGAGCTAGGAATAATTTCTACTGTAGGTGCCAAAATTGAATTATCTTATACATCTGGCAAGGTTAGCAGCTGTGTAAGTGCTACCCAAACATACTGAAATCTGAAAATAGTGGATTTCTTGGGTTCTTAGGCATCCCAAAATACCAATGAATAGAGGCTAACAGTTGAAAAAAAGGAAAAAAAGAAAAAAGAGAAAATTGAAAACTAGAATATTTTATTCTGTGACAATTTAACATTTAAAAAACTAAAGTAATTTTAAGTAAAGTAAATTAATAAAGTTCTGGTTTGAAGTGAGAAGTCCAACCAAAAAACCATCATTTTTCTCCTCCAGAATATCAAGCTTTTTTTTTTTTCTTCCTGATGAAGTTTATATTCATGGTATTAGTACCTATGACATGGGAGCTTCCCATGAATTCATATTCTTACTGTTTTTCTATTCAGTTCTAATCATCTACATCCTCCCCTTACAAAAACATGATACAACTTGCCTTAATTTAGCTTTTGGAGGCAGAGATTGTATTTTGGGTTCCTAGGGAGGCGCACAACACTTAAATTGATTCCCTTAGCCCACCAGTGTTTCTAAACACAGGTATAAACCCAAAATTTGTATGCAGTATCACAAAGAAAAAGATGGATAGTCGAGTTTCTAAGGTGCCAACCCAGAAAAAAGTTATCTCTAAGAAACTGCAGGGAAAAAAGGGAAAAGAAGAAAAAAAAGTTTTGTATCCACAACCACTGAAGTGTTATTCTGAAAACCCATAAATCTCTATCTTGGGCACACAACTCTGGAGGCCCAGCAGCTCTCAGGTTGTCAGCCTAGTTGAAAAAGAATCAGTGATGAACAGCACAGTTATACACATCAGAGATTCAACCTTCTATAATGGTCTCTAAATGAGGCATGTAACTGTAATTGATTGTGTGAAGCGCACAAGCCAACAGGCTCTGTGCATGTGATAAAATTCTCTAACTCTTCAATTTTATGTTCACAAAGAGCTTTCCCAGTTCAGTACTTTTCAGCAGAGGAAAACAAAATTTGACATTTTTCCTATACTGCTGAATAAATACATTGAGGCAGTACTCAATCCATTTGCCGAATTATACAAGAAGCAGCATGGTACGAGGGGGTTCCTTCAGCAAAGGAAGGAGAAGCAAGATTTAAGCTCACTTTTACACTTCATTAGCACATGGTGTAATACATGAATCCTTCTCAGCACTGAAACCTTATTTTTAAATTATATTTTAACTCAGCTATATCTGGAGCTATTCTTTCTCAGGAGTCTAAAACTGTTTCTTCCTCTTCTGGTAAAGTTCATTATATTGATTTCTGCCTGTATTTCTCCAGGTTGTTGAATATTTCTTCCAAATACTCCACAGTGTTACCAGTGCTTGCTGTTATTTGAAAAGGTTAATGTATCTTTTGCCTCCCTCAATAATTTATGAAGATATTAAACAAACAAGTGTTACCCAACACTGACCCTGCTGAAATCCATTAAATTTTTTGTTAAAACTAGATACAACACTGTTAATACTCCCTGGGAACAATCTGTCATTCCCCAAGCTGAGCTTTTTTATTGCATGCAGTCTACTTACTGATGTTTGATTTTTTGTAGGGTTTGGTTGGGGGACAGAGGGACAGGCGAAGGAGAAAGTGGGTGTTACTGTACTTTTCAAGGTATTCAACAGAACTGCAAAATCATTTTAAAGAAAACGCTGGGCAACAGTTAACTAAGCCATTAATTCTCTGATGGAAAAGCTGAAATACATGGAAAAGTCAGGGCACTGACATACAGAACCAGATACAGCTTAAAAACAGATAATAGGACATACAACTGTAATCAAATAGCTGGTTTTGAACAAGTGACATTTCTAAAAAGCATGTCAAAAACCCCCACTTCACGTATTCTTAACAATTTGGAGACATCATTCAAAATTAGTACAAATAAAAGAGAGGGAATAAGGTCAATGCAGCAGTATGCTCAAGAAAAGCATAACGTTTCTGTTTTCTGCACTTATACTACTCAGTATTTGTAACTAAAAACGATCTTTGCTACAGCAGCCAAAATTGTTTTCCATCTGCTGCAAGGTTGTCAGAATACACACTGTCCCTTTTTCCAATTTTCTCCGTACACAGTAGGTGTAAAAGGAATTTCATTCCATTAGAAATTCTTTTTTAAAGACTTATGTATTGAAAACTCAAAATCAAGAACAAGAGAGACAATAAATATCATGAAAGCATTTGCAATTGAAAAAGTAAAGACACAGGAAATAATTTCAAGCATCTAAGGACATCATGAAGTAGCAGCAACTTTAAAACAGTAACAAAGACAGAGAGAAACACCATTACCTTGAATTCTTTTTCAATGTTGGCCAACTTGGCAAGTTCATTGCTGAGTTCTAGAGCAGTGAGTACTGGATCTTCACTGGAGAGGGACAGATAAGCTGGACTAGCCAGTCCTTTGTATGCATTTATTCTTGACCTAGAGTGACTGAAAGAATCATGTTTTTGCTTCTCTGTACAGTCATTACATTTGCAGAAATAATCATGAGGTCTTTCTATCCTTGCTCCTTTCATCAATAGCATGTGCACGACTTCGTATTTTTGGCAGTGGGCAGCTAAAATTATGGGAGTGATATCTGGAGAAAAGCGGGTACCGTCTTCATCATAGGAATAAAAATCATCATCCTGGAGCTCCTGCTCACAAGGGCTCAGGGTCAGTCGCTTATTTACTGAAAACCCAGGATGATTCAAAATTGCTTCCACTATCCTAATGTAGCCCTTGCTGATTGCGAGCAGCAGGGCATCTCCAATCCGTGCCAAGTTCTCTTTTTTTAACAGAAGTTCTGTCACTTCCAAATGTTCATTCCCTACAGCAAGCTGCAAGGCGTTTTGGCCCATGTAGTCAACACAGTTGACATTCAGTGTTTTTGACTCCTCCAGCATTTTGCGCACCACAGGTATGTTCCCATACTCTGCTGCATCTAGAAAGCGCTCTTCTTCAGCCGTAAGGCTGGTGCCCCTGTTGTTGAACATGAACGCTGGGCCTCTAATGGCCTGTCGCCTTCCCTTTTCCCTCATCATGGTCATACGTCTCAGAGATGGACTTTCTTCAATGTACCTAATGAGAAAACAAAAAGGTAACAGAATTTCACTACGTTGGTTATTTGTAGCTTCCACTTCTCCTGTGGCTATGAGAATAATTACTTATTTTGTCCCTTGTCATTTGCCCATGTATTGACAAGAAGTAGTCCTTATGGTGATCCTTCTGCCTTCATGCTTGCTTGTCTGCAATCTAAACGCACTTAGAGGTTCAATGCCACAGGCCATTTCTGTTTTGTTAGCATAGTCAAGACTGGTGGGGGTTTTAACTTTATATAAGACATCACTTCTCTTCAGAAATCCCTCACAACTCACTTCAGCATATATATAAAATGAAAGCAAAACTACCATACTACTTTCAGTAGTAATTAATACTATACACCATAGGCATTCAAGCTGATGATTTAAGGAAGGCAATATTTGTGCTTACCAGATTGTAGTTCACATAAATGAGAGGTGAAAATAAGTTTTCTTCCTGATATCTGGCCAAGCACTACACAGGGAAGCCTGATCTCATGCCTTCTAGCGTTACTACTAGAAACATTAACCAAATCTGGAAGATTCTATTCATAAGTCAGTCTGGTCAAACTATAAGTCTTTGAAAAACATCAGCTCATACACATTCAACAGACTTTCTGGATGCTAGTAACCAAACTGCTCACAGATTCCAGACATTGTGCATGATCCAGGATCGACTGGGATCAGCTCTCACTCCAGGTGGACTTCCAGTGCTGTGGGTTGTGTTGGGCCTATTTCTATTGTACATCTACTATTCCAGGAGCTGGAGGGAAGAAGCTATCTGATGTCATTACACGAGTATATATTTATACTTTTAAAAGCCCTCAGGCATTCTTGTAATACAGTCAAGAAAAATGGGACAGTCAAAGAGCTACTGAATGAAAATTGGGATGGCAGGCTGCACTGGAAAGAAGAAACCTGGGTGTAGGAAAGTGAGGTTATTTAGAAAAGAGAAGTGAGAACCAGGGAAGCTGTGAACTCCCCTCAAAAGCAGAAAGACGGAGAAAAGAGAAGGGGAACAGAAGAAAAGAAGAGATGAGCAAATTAATTCATAAAACACAGAAACTGGAACTATGAACCAGTGGAAATACTGACTGAGAGCAGCAGGGAACAAACAGGAATGGGCTGAGAGAATAGATAGATCAGATGCTGAGCTGAATCTAGCTAGGTAAGAAAACTAAAGAGGGGAGAAGAAGTTCAGAGAAGAGACTAGGAGTTGCAAAGAAAATGGACCTAGGACAAGAGGTTGAGAAGCAAATGCTACCTAGCTGGAGGAAACAGGAAACAACTGCCTGGCAAGGTCTGATAGACAGAATAGATGGGATCAGGCTAAAGTGGTCACGGCTGGGGGAAGAACAGAAGCATTTATGCCTGTCAGAGCAGTGGCCAAAGGCCTGAAAAGGTACTCGGGATACCATACCTTCCTTCGCTACCATCTGCAAATAAATCTGAAACCCATCAGCAATCTTCCTTTCCTTTCCAGTCCAGCTCAATATTGAGAAAGACAGCCTCCAGCTGCTATCAGTTAATCCATTAGCTCAAGGGATAGTGATCACTTGAGCTGATTTGATGGACACAGAGACACCAGTGCAGCTGATAAACAATATACGAGTTAATGGAGGGTGTGCTTTGAATACATATAACACTATATAGATGCTCCATAGAGACAAACAGGCTTTATAAATTTCAAATTTGGTCCTTAAGTCCTATGTACTTCTGTTCCTCATCTATAAAAAAAGAACAGTTGGCTCCCATTTTACAGGAGCATTGTGAAAATTAGTTTATTCACTTTGGCAAAAAACTTAGATACAAGACTAGAAGGCCAGACAAAAAAAAAACTGAAGAGGAAATTAATCCTTCTACCCTCACTGCAAAAGCCAGGTAACGTGCATTAGGAGAGACATGGGGGTACATAATGAATGCTGAGGGTAAACCAAAATATTAAACAGCCCTTTTTAAGGAAACCTCATCAGTCTGCGAAAGGACAGAACCAAGGGAAAAACACCACGCTCACCTTTGGAGCACACAAAGACTACACATTTAAGTGAACACAGTGGAACCTGCATGGGCAGATTCAAAAGCTGCATATCCTAATTGCTGCAGGTTCAAATCCACAACCAGAGCAACAGCCTCTTAAATACAGGTGTGGAGGTTTTTTTTGTGGGGGTGATCTTTCAACAATAAGCTTATCTATACTACCACAGCACAAAATATGCCTGTTGACATCACTGGATTTCCCCATATGCAGCAATGTCAACCTGAATGGTTTTCATTGAGCATAACTAATTCCATTTAGGTTATAAGAATATGTCTGGCCTTCCAGATATCTGTATCAGTGGTAATAAATTCAGCAAAACATAAAATCTTAATCACTTTACCACAGCTGCAAATACCATAAAAGCTAGTCCATGCTCTGAACATTTCAGTTAACACAAATGGGCAGTTCCATTGCAGACCAAGTGAAGAGATTGTAATACTCATTACCAAGGGCAGGTCTCTCCCGGGACAAAGCATTTGATCTTTTTACATTTTCATCCGTGGTTGGTACTTCTGGAGTACCAGGAATGACCTGAGTGGCACTGCAGTATAAGCAATGCTAACTGGTACTTACTTTTTTAAACATGTGCCAAAACTGCTTTGCCAAACATGACAGGATCTTTTCTTTTTTTTTTTTTTTTTTCCTACTTCTGTACCACTTTCTTATAAGTCTATGAAAAAGGCTACATAACAGAGAGGATTTGTGACTCTGTTAAACACAGAATTGATTTAATGTCTTAAAGCTCAGGCATATTTCACATTTGGGAGTACTCAGATATAAAGATTCGAGCCCCAGAGTACACATGTGAACAGCCACAGTATGCTACTACCTTATTTCCCCACAAAATCAGAACTAAACCAGAAATATTGTCTTTTCATAGTCACCTTTTAAACAAGATTTTATTGTCTGCTATGCTTCTATTCTTCCTCCACATCTAAAAACATACAGCTACATAAATGTAATTTTTTACTGTAATGCTATAAAGAAAAAAGTATGTGTATTAAAAAAAGTAAGAAAGACGGAGAACAGATTGACTCTTGCTGACTTCATGATTTAAGAAGATTCTAAACTGCTACCCTGAATCTCATTTATCTTCTATGAAATACATAATACATTTCCCCCTATACATTCAGTGCAATTTTTCAGAGTATTTTGAAATATGACACTTATTTTCTGTTTTATCTATCATTCTTTCAAAACCCACTGTCTGACTGAGGTGACTCATCTGATTTCTGTAAAAAGAGATATATTCTTCCAAAGGTGTTGCATTAGAATATCTTCCCAGTAAGGAAGATATCCTTAGCTATAAATCTTGCGACAGAAATTACATATTTGAAGTGACTGCAGTATCTTCTCAAAATAAGGATGAAAGTTGCTTCGTATTTTAATGACTAAAATATTGTCAAGACCTCCTGAAAAAAATAAAAAGAAAACAATCTTGTGCAGCACCACACAGCACAGACTGTTAGGTTCATCCATACCTCCCTCCTCTCTTCTTCCCCTCTTCCCTCACCAAATTCAAAGACCTTGAAGCCAGCGCAGCTCTGGTCAGAGTGTTGCATGCAAGAAGCATCAGGTACAAGGTTTCCTATTCCATCTTCTGCTCTCCTGTTCTTAGCGCTAATATTTTGAAGCTATCCCAAAGCATGAAGAAAATGGTTGAAATGTTAGTTTTAACTATTTAGCTGTTTTCAGCACATTTTATATGTAATATTTGCCAACTGAAGTAATGAAAACAACAAAGTTGCATCTCTAAATATCATTATACTGGCTTAAAAATATGATTAAAATAGAACTAAGCGTGCATTAATTATTTGTGTTCTATTTCCTAAAGCCTTTAAAGTTCATATTCTCAACCTTGTCTCTGTAAGGAGCCGACAACTTACATTAAAAGAGGGAAGGAGAGATGGAAATTGTGATGCTCTTCTTCCCAACTGTTCCCAACAGTTGAAAGAAGACAAAAAATTAAAAATCCATAGAATGCATGGCAAAAAATCCACAAGAATGCCAAGCAAGAAAAACGCCCAATTATTTTATATTAATTCTTCAGCAGAAATACACCAGGACATTAAGTAAGTTCTAGTCCTAATACACAGATTGCATAATTACACTAAGTGGTATGCAGCAGGAAGGTGAGAGGACAGAATTCAGTCCCCTTTTGCTGCCATGAAGCAGCAGCTGAGCCCCTCCATTTTTTCCACAACTGTTTTTCACATTTCACAGCACAGAAATGGCGAAGGGGTCTATACAGCCCCAAGCCTCTGTTCGCTGCTCAGCACAAATAAGAAGGATGGAATTGGAGCAGAGCAATCATGTTAACTGAAATACACCAGTTCCACCACATCTAGACACCTTTCACTTGGCCCAAAGTGTGCAGCAGTTAGGCAGCTGTTCCGAGGAACCAGAGAGGTTCTTGCCAAGTGGCAAGAAGGAAGAGCTTCAGAAACAGTACACCATGAACCTTCATAGCCATTCATTCATTCATCAGTATAAAACAAAGATGGTCTCGAGTTACAAGTTTTATTTCCTAACTATACTGCTACCATTAGCCGTTTGCCAGCTTAAGTCTAGGTCATTGCTCCCTACTTAGGCAAACACTCAGTAACTTCAGTGATAGCCATAAATGAACACAACACAAGCCAATTAACAATTAACCAAGATGTGACAGGACCCTAAGTCAGCCCCTTGTTGAGTAATACGAAAGCAAGACACCTCCATTTCAGCTTTGCAGCAGAACTCTCACATTAGTGAGGCCACAGCTCCTACCACCTTTCAAGACCTTTACCTAATGGTAAGTATCACAAGCTTTCAGATAGAGCAATGTTATGTACACTCTGAACAACTAATGGTTCGTTACATACCAGGTAATGTCATAAGACACAAAAACCTATCCTACATTATAACATATTTATGTTCACTTTAAATATTCAATCTAAAATGCATGACCTTCATATATA